ATGAAGTGTCCGAACATATCACTGATCGATTGATGGCTATTATGGAAGACTATAACACAACTTCAAGATAAATAATGTGTGGTCTAAGGCGAAATCTGAAAATCAAGAGGTGTGAAGGATACAGTTTGGCTGATGCCTTCTCATGGAGGACTAGTACTGCTTTATGAATTATGTAGGATGAGTGAACCAAAATTATTTTGCCATATGATCTCCACAATAAGTGTAATCCCTCACGTGAGAGGGAAATGTTAGAAAATCGTGTATAAAATCGACTTTTGTCCTCTTATAAAAATGATAAATTGGACCTCCTGATTGGACCCAATATACCGGTTCAAAACAATACTCGAATTATAGTCTGAAGATACGAACATTGACCCTCCGGCTCTGCCTTCCTTATTGCCTTGTCATTTTGTCATGCTCAGAGATTCCTGCTTATCTATGTTGTTGGGCAATTAAACCCCCAAATGCCAACACAACAAATAAATTAGTAAAAAGTCCCTTTCACCAAAGAAAAGCCAACAGCATGACATACGGTATAACTATTTTTAAGCTGTTTTTATCTTTTGATTTTATAGGATAAGTACTTCTATAACGAAGCCAACCTTGAAGATAAGTCAGTCCACGAAGGTCAGAAGCAAAGGATTAAGGCCAAGTCCAAGAATGGTCGAATTTCTTGTTAGGTTATGGCAACGGGAATGGGTATTTGCCTGTTGAATCTATCCTTCATAGCATGAAAAGGACAGATATATAAGTTGATTTTATTGTACCCTACATTCTTCATTATTCACTTCTACATCCTTAATTATTCACTTAACCAAAATATGATGGCAAAATTGGATAGTAGACATAACCTCAGACACTTGATAATTGTTTGGGAACTAAGTGATGATGTTAGAATTAATGAAGACAAATTAAAAGAAAAAGAAACACTTAATTGATAAATTCTAAAATAGACATCTTTGAAAGTTTAGAAATTTATTATAAAATAAAATAAAATAAAAAATCGGGTGATCAGATTGCGGATTCAAGTCTTGGGTTGAAAAAATCATGAATTTAGGATCTGAATCAATAATAATTAGTTTGAATCATGTTTGACACAAAATAAAACTAGTATCCAAACCAATTTAATTTATTTGGTTAAATTTATTAGATTGATAAGGTTAAATCGGCCTAATGAACACTACTTAAAGTTCGATCTCTCTTTAATGATATTTTCTTTCTCATTAATGGTTTCTTTTTAATGGGAGGAAATATTCTTATCTTTCAATGATAGATTTTTCCAAACATTTTGAGTTTCTCATGTATGTCATTTGTTAAAACAGATTTTAAATTTTCAACTAAATTCATAGATTGTCTTATGTCTCGACCTTATAAAATAGTGAAACCTTGAAAATGATATAAAAGGCTTGGAATATGTTGGGAACATGCATGTAATTGAATGTATATGATACCGTGAAATTGATTTTCTACATGATAGAGGTACAAATAAACATCTTATTTAATTTCCTCGTATGAATGATTAATAAAACATATTCAATACAACTACTTCTTCTTTGTTTTCTATATTTAATAAGTTGACATAGATTCATTGACATATACTCGAGTAATCTCTTAAAATGAAAATGACTTGACAAGAGTGGTTGATATAATCCACGACGCTTTTTATTGAGAAAGATGGGTTGTTCTTCATAATCCATGACTAAAAACAAATTTACTAATCAAATGATGGTAGCTCAGTTAGTCTGGAAAATTGAACAGATAAAGGTGAAAGTATATGTTTAATTCTTTTATTACCGTCTTTGAGATGAGTTTAAAGCCTTAACATCGGGGCTCATCCCGAATCGGACTAGTAGTGAAACGATGAACCAATTGGATTATTAAAAAAAAAAAAAAAAGCTACTGATCATTAATTAGTTATTTTTGAGTAAAAAATTTATATGACAAAAATATCTATATAGCAGTACAAGTCGTCTGCGTAATGATAAATTCCACACATGGTGGTTGAAAGCAAACAAACAGAAGAATTCAAAAAGACATGAAAGAAATTGTACCACCTTATCATATTACATCCAAGTGTAGCTGCGTAAGCTTTCATCGCATTTCTTATTTATTCTTCGGCAATACTCGATAACGATGACCATGTGAAGCTGGGGGATTGAGACCGTCCAGGAATTTGTCATCTGGGGATGCTTTGGTGCAAATTCAAGTGTAGGGATGACAATTCCTTAGAATTTAGAGTATATTCTTTTATGAATTATTTAATATAATCACATTATATGAAATATCGTAATTATTTATGAATAAATTAATGATGATAATCTTAATATTTTTTCTCTCGTTTTTACCATTGATTTGCTCATTATTTATTAGGATACTCTAACATGCTATAGCTATATTAATAGTGGCGGAGCCGGTCTCCAAACCCAGTTAGGAAGGTTATTTAGTCACATTTAAATCGTGGCTAATATTTAAAAATAAGCTAAAGCCATTGTATATTAAATAATATTTGAGAAAATTCACTCCCAGGCCTTATGATTTTTATGAAATTGTAATACGGATAGACAGTGGAGGAGCCACGTTAGATGTTGGGCTAAAATTCAAAAATTAGCCACATTAAAAATAACCTTCCATATTTTAGTGTTTAACACCAGTTAAATTTTTCTTGGCCCTAGTTGGTTTCAGAGATTCACTTCGTCACTATAGACAGGGAATAATAATTGAGTCGAGTCGTTAATTAATTAGCAGAACTGAGCAACTAAACTCAATCATTAACTAGCTATAATGATTGGACAGTCAATTTTACGTGACAATAAATCATCTTGTGTTATTTAACATGATCATACTATTTGGATGAATCCTAGCGTAGATCAATTTAAGAAAAAAAAAGAAAAAATTATTAGGATAAAAAGTTATAAAATCATTACTGTTGATTTATTTATTAATGATTAAAATTCTCTCAGATATTATAATAATATTAAATAACATATGAGAATATGTTTTTCCATTTTGCGGATATGCATGTTTAGACTCTGGCTACCCTCAAGCGCATCAGGTTTGGGCCAAACTAATCCCAAGTTAGATTTTAATCAAGGTATACCAACTTGGGCGTGTTAGGCTTGGAATAACTCCAAGCAAATCGATCCCATGCCCATACTCTGGGCCAGGAGGTATAAATATAAAAAAACTGCTAAGAATAAAAATAATTAAATTCTTTAAAAAAAAAAAAAACTTCAAGAATAAAGACCTTTGAGCGAATGTAATCGTAAAATGACTTAAATATTAGAAATTTCAATTGGTTTATCGCTTCACGACTAGTCTGATTCGAGACGAGTCTTAAGATTAAGATTTTTGTAAAAAACCTTGGGATACACCACCCCAAAAGCTAGCTCAAAGGGTGAGAGTACCCAAAACCTTGGAATGCTGTGTACGGGTTCGGATACGGGTCGGAAGAGAGGGAGGAAAGAGATTTGGGTTCGAGTATAAGGAAATAAGGAAAAAAATGTGGGTTTGGGTCGGGTATGATTATAAAACTACAGTAGAGAAAATGAATGTGGGGTGGAGAAAGAGCCTTTGAACCAAGGATCAGAACGTACCTGATACCATGTTAAAATTCTATACTGGAAAAATCCTTTCTTTCATTGATAATTTAATCTCTCAAAACCAGAATACATTTATACAGAAGCTATCAACTAAATACCTATTTTCTAGGAACAGAAAATATACAAGTTTGGATGCTATCTTGTTTGTTATGGAACAAACTTACAACAATAATTCAAATTCTAATTTTGAATTTAACTTTCTGTTTCAACACTTATAAAGGCCACTAGTGGCACATACAACCAATGTGAGACTATATATCTTAACACGCCCCCTCACACGAGAGCCCATTGAGCTTGAAGAGTGGACAATGCAATAGGTCCAGCCTAACTGTGCTAAGAAATTCCACAAGAGAAAGTGGGGGACGGCGAGGCTCTGATACCATGTAAAGAACCTTGGGATACACTACCCAAAAGCTAGCTCAAAGGGTGGGAGTGCCCAAAGTCTTATAAAGGCCACATTAGTTGCACATACAACTAACGTGGGACTATATATCTTAGCCTTAGAAAGAATCAAATACATGTCCTCACTCCCATTAATTAATTTCCTGGCCGCTGGCTGCTAGAAATCCATTTTATTAGACTCTAGAAAAAGAACAAGCATTTTGTTGATGCTCTGGAGTCTGGGCTGCAGCTCTGCTGATTTTCGTGGCTCATTTTGGCCCACTTTTTCGACTACTAAAGTCCACTGTACAGACTTGTGCGCTGACCCGGCCTGTCGAGAGCCCTATAGAAAGCAAGCCTTCTTCAAAGAAAAAGAACAAGCATTATTTTTAAAAAAAGCAAATAAAAATGTTCATATTACTTCCCCCTCCCAGAAAAAAAAAAAATTGCTTACAAAATCCTCTCAAACAATTGATAGAAACAAAGAGTACTATGTCTAAATAAGTTTTTTTTTTTGTTTTTTTTAATTTAAGGGTCAGTTTGTAGTTTTTTAAAGAATTGATAATAATTAGATAAATATTTTAAAAATAAAAAATATTTCATTTGTTTTAAATGATAGGCTTTAAAATAAAATTTTAAAAAACATATAAAAACACTTTTTTTCCCCAAAACTTATTTAAATACATTCTTGATTATGATAAAAAAAAAAAAAAAAAAGATATACTATACAAGTTTTTCAAAGGATATACTATACAAGTTTTTGCGGACCGAATCAAATTCAAAACTTTGGGAATAAATCCTCCGGTGAGTTTTCAACATGAACTATCATATGAAAAAATTATAATTATACAAAAATAAATTAATAATAAGAGAAGAGATAGAAAAAAACATTTAAATAAATAATTTTAAAATTACCACTATTAATTCACTCTAGTTAAAATTCTTACACGTGACATGGTGGTGATGTTAAATAACAAATTCACATCCACTCCCGAAAAACCTTTTGAGATAGCTGATGTTTTGAAGTTAAACTAGGTTTCTTTTTTCTTTTTCTGGTTTTTGGTGGTTATAATAACTAGGTTTCTTAATTTCTCCAAACAAAAGAAGAAGAAAAGAATTGATTTCGTGAGAAGTGGAAGCAAATATAACGTCATAACTCATATAAGAGTGAATTGTCTTGAGAATTCGAAGTTGAAGTTGAAGTGGAAGTGGAAGTGGGCGTGTTCGAGTGTTTGGATCGGAGAGAGAAAGAAAGATGACGGTGTTCCATTTCTTTAACTGTGCGATTCTCACCTTCGGCCCCCACGCAGTATACTATTCTGCCACACCCTTGTGAGTCTTCTTTCTCTTTCTCTTTCTCCCTTCACACAAATCAGATCTATGCCCCTCTTCTTTTCCTTTTCCTCGCTTTCTCTATTCTTCACATTAATTTCGCCCTCAATTCCTTAAATTATTAACTATTCATTCAAGTATCAATTCTATGCTCCCACAATTTCGCCTGCTTCTCTTTTATTTTTCAAAAAAAAAAATATATATTGTTCTATACCAAATTTTATTACTATGTATATAGCTGGGATTGAATGAAATATCCAAAGATTATCGGTTGTAAATTTACTTTCAATGTATAGCTGTAATCAATAGCTTATAATGAAGTCACTTGAATGCATTGATGAATTATTGGTTTTCCAATTTTTTTTTTCTGCATGATTGTCGGTAAAGTAACAAGTTTCAATACGCAGATCTGAGTATGATACATTGGGCACCTCTATTAAAGCTGCTGTTGTTTATCTCGCAACAGCATTAGTGAAGGTTGGTGAATATACTGAATTCTCGACTGTTTTTGCATCTTGAGCTAATGTTTGCACAAAGTGAGATAACAATCTGAGTCTTTTTCTTTTTGTCTGCATAATCTGGCAGCTTATTTGTCTGGCTACTTTTCTCAAGGTATCTGAGAGTGATAGCTTTGATCCCTATCAGGTATGTTTCTAAATTGCTTATGAGTGTGTTAGCATTGACTTATTATACTGTACACCGAGGGATGTTTAATAATTCAAGAATTGTTTTTTAAGCGACAAATAAAGACATTTGATTCACGGAAAAAAATATTTTACACTAAAGCTGAATGTTATTGCAAACGACAAGATAGAAGGATTAGTTTGATGTAAACTATTGCTCAATTCATGGTTTGGCCTTAAATTATAAGGTGTAGGGAAAGTGAAATTGATCTAATGCCCTTTACTTGTTAGAAAAACAACCTAATTTTTATAAATGAACTCTGTTTCTTTAAAAATTAAATATATGAATAAACTATCAGTATCTCTCTTTGCATTCTGTCTTCTATTTCTGTGTTTTTTGATTGCTGACTCTCCTTCCCTGAATGCTTTATCTTGTGTTCTCCATTGAGATAGAGTAAATGCATTGGTTGTGTATTCCATGTGTTGAACTGTTCACATACATTTGCATGGAGGGTACTGAGTACAGTTGCATACCCCTATATAGATGCTGAAAGAAAGAGTATGGTATGCAAAAAATGAAAATTTGGCCGGTCTTTTTAGTATTCAGATTGATTTATCAGAAGCAGTAAGACCGTGTTTAGTACACAGTGGATCTTTCCAAAATCAAAATGAAAATCGGAATGTGAATGTAAAGGAATTAGCATACCCTTTCTAGTATTTGGTTTGCTCAAATCCAATTGTTTTTTATTCCATTTCATTTTCTATTTGAGATGCAGAATCAGCATAAATGGAGCCATAAATCACAATTATAACTAATAAATATCAATAAGGTAACAAAAACGAGCACTGATTCCTTCCAGCCTAGAGGGAATGGAATTCTTGTCTATGCAGGCCCAGAAAGAAATTGCCATTTCATGTATTTTTCCTACCAAACTAAGGAGTCTTCATCCCTGCATAATAGAGACAGGAATACAATGACCATTTTGCATACTGAATCTCCTCTAAGATTGAGCCTGTGAAGTATATGACGGTGATAGATACCCTCCTATTACATGAGCCTATGTATGAAAGGTAATTATTTAATGAATCACGTGAACAAGAGAGGTGAGGTAGAAGAGCATATACATGGGGGGTTTTCTTCTTGTTTCCTAGACTCATGGTAGCAGGGGATAGAGGAGTGGGGAAGGTATATATTCTGTTAAAGAAAATGATTTGAAGCAAGGAGTGAGAGAGAGAAAGGGAAGGCAGGAATTCATTAAGTAAGGAATTTCCTTTGGGCAGGGAGTAAAGCAGACCCCTTGAAGAGTCTCCAGTGTCTTACCATTGCCATCTTTTATTTTCTTTTCAGTTTTTTTTCTCATATTCTGAGGAATATTATAGAGATCTTCCTCTGCTGTAAAGAGTTAATTTCCATATTTTCGTGGAGAAATCCAAGTTCCTATAGGACAAATCCTGAGCATAAGGCTCCCCAACTTTGCAAGGATAGGGGTGAGGGTCAATTGAACGCAGTCTTACATTTACATTTTTGCAAAGAAGCTGTGAAATCCAAGTTCCTATCAGACAACAAAATACAAAGATATAACAATAGATGGTTATGAATTTATGATCTGAAGTCCTTCGATTTCTCTGTGTCTATGTAGAGTCATTGTTATTAAGCTTATTATCTTGAGTCATAACAAATGGCTTTATTCTTCAGGAAATTTTGAAGGCATTAATAGGTTTTATAGATGTTGCTGGGCTTTATTTTGCCTTGACCCAGTTGACTCACAGGAACATCTCTCAAAATCATAAATTTCAAGCAGTTGGTCTTGGTATGTGTGACACGGTATATCATTATAGATGAAAATAAGTTCTATATTTATTTTTATCTTGGAAGTGATGTTTTACTTCCTAGATTGGCCTCTGGTGTTTCTTGTGTTACTCTGCTTCTCTGATCTTCATCTGGCACTTTTCTTGTGGCAGGCTGGGCATTTGCTGATTCTGTACTGCATAGATTGGCTCCTCTTTGGGTGGGTGCTAGAGGATTAGAATTTACTTGGGATTACATTCTGCAGGGCCTTGAGGCTAATGCAAATTTGGTACGTTCTTTCATTTGAAAGTCTTTTTTTTTTCCTAAGATTGAATTCATGTTTTGTGGCTGCCAAGTCAGACAGTCCTTTGGTCAAACTAAAGAATATGGTCAGTAATATTCTCTTAAGAGTTTGGAACTTCTTATATTGTTATTTGTTATAGATGAACACAGTTCTCAGTTTGTGTGCAGTTTGTAGTATACGTATTATCTGTGTTTTACAGGTTTTCTGTGCTTGTATCTGTGCAGGTGTTGAGCATATCCCTTGCCGCACTGGGATCTTTGATGTGGCTCCGAAAAAATAAACCCAAGACTCTCATTCCTATTATATACTTGTGCGCAGGGATAGTAGCAACTATGCCATCTATCACCAGGTCTTTCCTGACTCATTACAATTACTATGATGTTGATGTGTAAATGCATAATTTCATACTCAATTTAATTTTTACTGTAATTGTTTTCTCTGCAAATTCAAGGTTTTGAATCAAGGACCAAGCATAAAATCTTTAATTGAACATAAACTTCACACACGGTTGATATCATACGTTACCTTCTCATCTCCCTGTACAAATGGTCCATTAGGATAATATGACCCATCGTATGGTGTTGGATCCAAGTATTAGATATGTTGCTTGGCTAGATGGTAGTAATTATTCAGTCAGTCATAACTTGGACTTTTTGCGTGTCATTCTCTGTAGTGTAGTGTTTGCTAAATCATGTCTTCTGCAGCTATCTGAAGCGTGGATTGGGGTGGCACTTTCCTGAAGTGGTAGGTTTTGAGCTCTTCACATCCTTGGTGATGGCTTTTATAAGTTGGCAACTGTTTGCTGCATGTCAGAGACCTTCAGTGTGAGAAAGCCCATTACATAATGATAGAATCCTGCTTAACTATGTTCTGGCTAGAGTTTTGATCCAGGATCTGCTTCTTTTGGCTGCTGCCATGCTGTTTCGTTGAAATTTACCAAGTTAAATGTTTTATCAATTGTAGTTTCTTGACAGATTGATTTTACTTAACACGCTTATTTGTGTTTTTTGTGTTAGAATGCTGGGTGCAATTCATTAGAAAATTTTGTTTATCTGAAAATGAGATGCTATGATTAATCCCATATATTTGGGATGATACATTGCAAACATTTCTCTTCTTTGAGGCTCCGTTCGATTTATCAGTAACCCATGTCCCGTGCGTTACTAACCCATGCCATTTCCATTGCAAACTGGATGCTATGGTTTACTCCATATTTTAGAATGCTGGCTGCAATTCATCATAAAACAAAAAATTAAATTCCTCTTTAACCCATGCGCTATTGCCGTCTCTTTACACATGCACACACATCCGCGCAAATGCACTACGGATCGAGTGACTTAATTCTTAAAGTTTCTCTGTCTGAGGTAACGTGCTCTACTCATACATTTCCACATATACCATTTCACATTTATATAAGTTTCATCATCCGATTGTAATTTTTCTTACCAAAATTTGTATACGATCTACTCTGATTTTGCCACGTAATTAATGTGAGATAAAAGGGGATGTGCATCAAGCGGTTTTTGGTAAACAATAGTATTTCGAGCGAATTACAAGCCTCGTGTACATACGAAACTGAGGTGGAAGGTGGTAACGTACTTACTTTAAGATATAAAAATATCTTGTCAACAGTTTTAAAACCCAAGCTCCATGTAAGACAGTAAGAGTAATATGTTTTTTATACTACTGGTTTCTTTTTTATTCTCACACAATTCGCACTGTTATGGCGTATTACTCTAGAAACAAATGCTGTGTAAAATGTGAACTAGTTTCTTCTCGTTAGGTAAGAATTGCTTGATTGAAATCTGAGAATTGTTGACCACATGGTTCGAGTCAAATTTATGTTTTTCATCAACTTATATATATGATTAAAACAGCCTAAGGCCGTGAGGAGAGATCCAATTACGAAGACAGGAAAACGAAGTTTCACAAGTCATAATGCAAAACGAAAACAAACACAACAGCATTCGATATACAAACATATAACCAACTATTCTGAATATTACTTGGTCATGTGATTAAAAGCTTTCACTCTGCCTCGGACTCCTCAAACCATGCTTCGACTCGTAGGAGGACAAAACCAACTGCAACCCCAACGAGAACAAGACCATTCATAATAGCAGCAATCGTGAATATCTCATCTGCAGCATTGCACTTAGATGAGAGCGCCCCTCCTCCCTTTCCTTTTCCATTTGATGCTGTGGCTTTCACTGAGCTCACAATCTTAGCAAAGCATTTCTCAGTGCTCAAAGGAAGCCCCAAGGAGACCACCCCATTACTGGCCTTAAGTCCACCAAATGAATTTAGCCCTCTTACGTATACCACTTTGTTCATTCTCTTGTTGCTCTTGCTAGTTGAGCTCACTATGGCTCCGGTGATGCTCTGAGGACAGAAGACAGCTGTGGCCATGGCCATTTATTGCTTTATTGCTAACCCAGCAACAAATATTGATCAACCAAACTTGCAGAGTCAAGTTAAATGGCTCGCGGATCTCTTACCTATGTAGAGGAATTTGAATTAAGAAAATCGAATGGTTGGAAATGTGAGTATTTATTTGGATAAGCGACTCTGAAATTGATTGGCTGTTAGGCCAGGAAAGAGGATTGCAGATTAGATGCTTAAAAAAATTGGAATAGTGGGCCACATCTCCGCGTCTCACCATTTCATTTATTTCTGAATTCACTTGCTATTGCTATATTGTTCAAAATAAAATAAAATGATATTCACTTGCTGTATTTTCAAATTATTGATACCTAGTGGCCCAATTATTTAAAAAAAAACGAAAAGAAAAAAGGTAGAATTATAATCAAATTTTCTCAAAAACCTTACTGAAATTTTATATACAAGCTGTTAATTACGAAAAACAGTCGTCACAAGATTTTGATTAATTTTCATGGGTTAACTTTCACGATTTTATATTCAAACGGAATTATCATTTCTTATATATTCGGCACTGTTGTGCCTGTCATTATTCATTGCTATAATAAATTATTACCATTTAACCCATATACTTTAAGTCTATTCATTTATGCACATTAAAAGGTTATAAAAGGAAAAAATGTGTATCATTTCGAAGGAGGTAAAGTTGTGTCATTTTAAGTAAGAGAAAGAAATAGATAAAAGAGGAAAAAGGGTGGACAAAAAAATATAAAGACGTGGGTCACACCTCTTTGTGAGAGTGAAATGACATAAGTTATGTCATTTAAAAGGATAAAGAGTTTTTCATAAACTAATGATAAGAGGTTATAATACTCATAATGCACATTGTTTTTTTTTTTTACTAAATAACCAAGAAAAGGGACATGCAAATGGAACGACAGATTTGAATCCATTAACGAGGAGACGGGGACATAATATCTGAGTCTGGTATGCCTAAGCGTTATTACGTGAAACGCAAATTTAGGCAAGGAAGCTTTAAATTCCAAATTAAGCCAAGTACATCCCACGGTTGAAACCACCATCTAAAATTAGAGGTACTACACAGCGCGCGAGGGGTCGAGAACTGGGGACAAAATAGAAAGAAAAACCATCTAATTTTGAGGCACCAACAGTTTGTATAAAGGTCATTCCCATTGTGGGTTCAGAAATTGTGGCAGAGCCTCTCTTATGGCTTTTAACGCGTCTCTTATCCGTCTCTCAATATAAACACATTGTAATTCGCCCTGTCTCTCTTCTCCCTTAACACCTATAAGCAACCTTAGGGCTTTCCAAGGTGGCGTTTTTCTCAAAATGCAGGCCTTAGGATGCTTCCTCGTACTCTCATTATTCCTCCATTCATCACCCTTCTTTTCCCATGCACTTTCCAGTGATGAAGCCTCTTTCATTGCTCGTCGCCAATTGTTACACCTTCATGAGAACGATGAATTACCCGAGAGCTATGAAGATACCTATAAAACAAATCTAACATTCCCTAATGGTAGACTCAAACGTGCTTATATTGCACTCGAAGCATGGAAAAAAGCGATATATTCAGACCCAACAAACTTCACTGGCAATTGGGTGGGTCCAAAGGTTTGCTCATACAACGGAGTTTTCTGTGAAAAAGCACTCGACGACCCAAAGATCGATGTTGTGGCTGGGGTTGATCTTAACAATGCAGACATCGCAGGGTACATTCCTCCCGAGTTCGGTTTGTTAACTGACATTGCTCTTTTGCACATAAACTCAAACAGGTTTTGTGGGGTTCTCCCAAAAAGCTTCTCCAAGCTAACGCTTTTGCACGAGTTAGATATCAGCAACAACCGCTTTGTTGGTCCATTCCCCATGCCCGTTCTTTCAATTCCTGATATCAAATACCTTGACCTGAGGTTTAATAACTTCGAAGGGGCATTGCCTTATGAGCTTTTCAACAAAAGCCTCGATGCTATCTTTTTGAACAACAACCGATTCACATCCACAATTCCAGAGAATCTTGGTTCATCTCCAGCTTCGGTTGTTGTTTTGGCAAATAACCATCTGAGTGGTTGCGTTCCTGCAAGCATTGGTGATATGAAAAAGACCTTGAATGAGTTTGTTTTAATCAACAACAACCTTAATGGGTGCTTGCCCTCAGACATTGGAAAACTCGAACAGGTTTCGGTAATTGATGTCAGCCACAACTCGTTCGTTGGTGTATTGCCAAGGACCTTCAACGGTCTCGAAAACGTGGAGCTGTTATCCATTGCACACAACAAGCTCACAGGTTTTGTGCCACGTAGCATTTGTAGCTTGCCCAGCTTGGTTAACTTCACATTTTCATATAACTATTTCAATGGTGAGGAAGAAGGTTGTGTGCCTCCTAGAAAGGACATTGTGTTGGAAGATAAGAACAACTGTATTCCAGATAGACCAAAACAGAAGGTGGCAAACGCTTGCATTCCCGTCATAAGCAAACCTGTTGATTGCAGCAAGGCACAGTGTGGCCAATCATCTCATCACTCTAATCCTCCAACTGAAAAGTCAACACCTTCTGTACCCAAATCACCATCAAAATCTACTCCTTCTGTACCTAAATCACCATCAAAATCTACTCCTTCTCCCTCCAATCCTCCAGCTGAGAAGCAAACACCACCACCATCGAAACAAACACCACCATCGAAACAAGAACCACCCAAAGCACCCCCATCACCAGAAGATGATCCTCACCGTGAAGCACCCCGCCGACGAGAAAGACCTCCACACTCTCCACCACCACCACCTGCTGTCCACTCTTCACCACCACCACCAGTCCATTCTCCTCCTCCACCAGTTCACTCCCCACCACCACCGGTTCACTCACCACCCCCGCCGGTTCATTCACCACCACCACCTGTTCACTCACCACCACCACCTGTTCACTCACCACCACCACCGGTTCGCTCACCACCTCCACCAGTTCACTCACCACCACCACCTGTTCACTCACCACCACCACCTGTTCACTCACCACCTCCACCAGTTCACTCCCCACCACCACCCGTTCACTCCCCACCACCACCTGTCTACTCTCCACCACCTCCTGTTCACTCTCCACCACCCCCACAGGTACATTCTCCTCCTCCACCAGTTCACTCTCCACCACCTCCACCGGTCTATTCTCCTCCTCCACCAGTTCACTCTCCACCTCCTCCACCGGTACATTCTCCTCCACCACCCGTTCACTCACCTCCACCACCCGTCTACTCTCCGCCACCACCAGTTCACTCTCCACCGCCACCAGTACATTCCCCACCACCACCTACACCAACTGTTTCACCTCCTCCGCCAGAAGAAGAGATTGTTCTTCCCCCTCACTTCGGCTCTTCATATGCATCGCCGCCTCCACCTATCGTTGCCGGCTACTAAATGGATTGCTCAACTTACTCCCACTTTTATTAGTTCATAGCCACAAAACTGCATCACGAGCTATATCAACGCGATAATTAAGGTTTTTTCTTTTCGTTTTTTATTTTTTATTATTATTATTATTTTCTGATGAAATATGTTGCATTCAATTTAACTGAAGATTGTATGAAGAAATTATTGTAAAAGAGAGAATTGTAATTTATTAGCTTTTGCTTCTTCGGCTCATCTCGTGCGTGTTTGACGTGTTCCTATTGTTATTATGCTATTTATGTCGCTTTTGAGCCGAAACAGGATTGTTACCAAAATATAAAAATAAAATTCATGCATAAATTATACACTACAAGTTGGCAACACTAAGGTGGTCTTTACTTTCTTTCATATTTAAAGGTAAAAAAATTAAATATAATTTAATTATTTAGGACTGTTAAATGTAAATAAAATCAACATTAACATTGAATTAAATTGGCGTAAAATGATATAATACTTAATAAATACATTTTTATGAATAATTATACAAAAAATTCGTATATTTTTAAGATTTCATAAACATAGTAATATAATTAAATAAAAATAAATAGGTTATATGTTTATAATTACTAATTACAAAAAAAATTTAAAAAAAATTAAACACCCTCTTGCATTTATTCCTATAAGAACCATGCTGTATTATGTTAACTAACATCGAATCATCTCTGTACAAATTGATGGATTCAATGACTACAAGGGCATGTTTGGTACATAGTATAAGATAAGGCCTGATAGTATAAGACCTGATAGTATAAGGCATGATTGTATAAGACCTGATTAAATTTTAATGCTATCCAACGTTTGGCATGGTACTGTATAAGATAATGTATTGTATAAGATAATACTATCCAGTGTTTGGTAATGCACTGTATAATACTAGATAGGATAAAAATAAATATTTTTGACAAAACTACCCTTTAATAAAAAAAATTTATATAATTCTTTTAAATATGTCATATGATATTTTTTTATGAAAAGTTTATCGATTAGTATGTGAAACGTTTAAGGCCTAGCTTCTTATCTCCCAATATAGAAGAGAGTAATGCAGACAACAACCTCGTGAGTGCAATAATGCTCTGGTTTAATCATGAAAGACATAACAACACTCATTATTAAAATATTTGTACCAAACGAGATTGACTTTGAATCTTTGATACCCTATTAGGCAATAGCTGATGAAGATCAACAGTGATGTACAACCAACAACATTGAATACATATCAGCTTGAAAGTAGGACAAATACCTCATCATGTTGACTAAAATCTAGTTAAGTTTCACATAATGACACCATAAACCATATCATTTCATTCATGTGGTAGTAGCACAAAGTAGTGACATGAAGTTTCCAATATAAAAGTGCACAACTTGAAGGTACAATTTTTTAAATACAAAAGATAAAATAAAAGACCACATGTAGGCTCAATGAGCAACCCAATCATTATACATTTCATTAGCCAATGCATCTCTCCAAGCACTCCACGCTTCACTTGTATCAATGGTGTCTATGCTATCATGTAGCTCTTCATCCACCTCCTCGTCAATAGACATGCTACCTAGCTCTATCTCTAAAGGATCTGTATCCATTTCCTTCCTGATCAAATTGTGCAGTAAGCAACAAGCAATAATAATTCGGTTGTGAGTCTTAACAGGATAAAAACTTGGACTTCTAAGAATTGCCCAACGCATCTTCAACAACCCAAATGTCCTTTCTATGACATTTCTAGCTTGAGCATGTCGCTTATTGAAAACTTCTTGAGGAGTTGCCGGGACATATCCATGTCTCCACTCACTTAGATGGTACCTTGTCCCCCTATAAGGGGCAAGAAACCCGTCCCCATTAGTATATCCAGCATCAACCAAATAGTAGTATCCTATTTAATAAAACAAGTAAGGTTCATTATATAATTTTCAATTTAATAGAATAAGTAAGGTTCAATATGCCATATATTGTAATAAAATGACTAAATTGAATGTAATTTCACGTTCTTACCTGTTGGAACCTTAAGGCCATTTCTCCTATTAATTGCATCGCGTAATATCCTAGCATCTGAAGCTGAACCCTCCCAACCCGGCAACACATATACAAATTTCATGTCTCGTGAGCACACTCCTAACACATTCGTGGCAATTTCACCTTTTCGACTTCTATATCTTGGCTTGTCAGCCTCAGGAACATTAACAGTAATATAAGTTCCATCTAAAGCTCCAAGACAACCCTGTAAAACCTTTAACAATTTAATTCACATGAAATAAGTACAAACAATCCAAAATTGAAAAAGAATATAATACATACCTTAAACCATTTCCACCTATCATCAGTGCAATTCTCAGGAACTGGATCCGGTACCTTCAATAAATTTTCTTGCAACCTCAACACAGACTTTAAAACTAAATTGAAGTATCTACTAACAGTTTCCCCTGACCGTTGGAATTTAAACTTGATGACACGATTCTTAGCATGGTGAGCTAATATATGTAAAAACATAGCTACTTGTTCTTCTATTGATACTAACCCATCTTCCTTTAGCTTACCCTCAACACGTACAAGAGAACATAATACTCGAAATGTGTAAGTATTCATTCGCAGTTGTTCTACACAAGCAACATCATCATTTATTAGCCTCTTAATGAATGCTACCCTTGATTCTTCCCTTATCCTTGGTATTTCTCGTTGCCTTAGTAATAATCTCTCACGTCGTCTTTGAGCCGCACAAAACATGCGTAGGTAAGACACAATACATACAATCACTATCTCCAAAAAGGCTTGTTCCTTCATCAACCACATTGACATGATATTAAGGAGCTCAGTTATATCATTAAGCCATCCATTTGGGTCATTTTGCCATCGATTTGGATCAAACCTTTCATTAGGATCCATATCACTCAAATAAAAAAAAAAAGATAAGTTTTATCTTTTTCTTGCTACTTCTCCTGCATAAAAAGGAAGCAGAGTAAATAAACTAGATACCATTGTGAGGTAAATATGAAGCCTGACAAATTCACATGAATAGCTTATACTTATATGATGAGGGAAGCAGCCTATTACCATAAATCTTATATTTTCCCGCTGAATATGATAAGGAGATACAGTAAAAAATTTTACTAGATTTTAAACCTCAATAAGGACTACAAATGGATCAATGATGTTATTCTCTACCCTGGTTACATTCGGGTTACATAAATTCTAACAATCATGGATAAACATTTGAATGCAATAGACAATAATTATTGACATTTGAATGCAACCCACTTTTCTTCCTCCTAGTGCTTATCTTTAGGCCATATCAGTTTGCTGCTTAATGGGCATTGGCAAAAAATTGACTTCTCTAGGGTAGAGTAGGTTCAAATCTATTGGTATATTTATTACATTATCACTAGAATTAACGTTTAAATAATTGGTAATTTCAGATCCCATATACTTAAAGGCCCAAAATGCTTTTGGCTAGCTGGCAGAGTAGTTTATACTTAAAATATTAAAAGAGAAAGTTAAACTAAGTTTTCTGATTTTTTGTAATTAGTTTATAGTGCCAAATGTTGTTCTCTTTAATCTTTTTTCCGTCATTCTTTGTCTTAATCTTGCCATACACTATAATGAAACTAACCAGCCTACAAAGGAATCTGATTGAAATTCTTTGTCTTCATCATTCTTTTTTCAAATTTGTCTAAACTTACACAAAAATGCTATAAACTTAACCCATTACCCATCAAAACAACACATAGTTCCTTATTTTTAATTATGAAACCACACATTCTAAGCCAAATACATTTGAAATTTTCTACATCTTAATAGAAAGCTGATTGAATCAACGCCATTTCATTATTGTGAACTTTATAGACAAAGTAGATGAACAAGTAAAACAGAAGGGTACAACTTTTACTAAAGATAAAAACAAAAGAGTCACAATTTTTTTTAAAAGTAATCTTCACCTTCAATTCACATGCAAAAGCTATCACCAAGTCTATCCTTTGAAGATCCAGAATGCAGACTTTGTTTGCATAAATGTTTATGCAACATTTGTTATTATTATTATTGGTACATAATGTATCTCAAAACATTCTCAAAAATTAAAACTGATCCTTAACCCCTTTTTATTCACTTCCCCACATCTGGTATGAACCCTAAATTAAAAATGTTAAAGAGAAGTCACAAAAAATCACTGTTTCAACTTTTAAAAAAAATAACTCCAAACTCAGTCTAACATGAAAAAGGAAAAATCACCACCAAAGTGCATTTAAAAAAAAATAAGGTTGAAATTACCACACATAATTTAGAAAAAAAAGAAAACTGAAATTTTGAAGAGAGGAAGAAGGAAAGACCTGGATCATGGGCTTGCCAAGGATTTGAACAAGAGGCTTTCCCTGGAACCGAGAGGAAGCGAATCGGGCGAGTATAATACCGACGACCTGGCTTCGAAATTTGTTGAATCGAGTCAGGTAAGCTCCAGCACTGAAAGCTTCATTCAACTCGGCACGAGACAGAGAAGCGAAGAAAGCAACATAGGTTGGGCGAGAAAGAGAGGGAGCAAGGTGAGAAAGTGATCGACGATTGAGAGACTTGTTTGTTTTTCGAACAAGGAGATGTAAAAGGTTCGAAGAAGAAGAGGGGTAAAAGGGAGATGGGAAGGATTTACCTAATCCAACGTTTTGTTATCAGGGCTAATCCCACATCCCTCTCCCTGATTAACTTATACATCATTTTGATGTATTAACAACTCCTGATGTATAAGCTTATACTATACGATGGTCACATCAAACAACTGAAAATGTCATAACGTATAGTATAAGCTTATACTATCAGGCCTTATACGTCACACCAAACAGACCCCAAACCTCGACAATATGGCATACCTCTTCTTGTAATTGAATTTACTGTTAAATCATTTTAAACTAGTAGGAACTTAATTGTATTGGCTAGTTCAGCTGGTCCAACTTACCCATTCCTGATTTTGCAGCTTTCTAATTCTTTTATTTTT